TCACGTTCATGCAACCATATTAAACGCGAGCTCAGTAGTATACAAGTATATGACAACCACCTTCTTCTCCTTCCCTCTTGCTTCTTATAAAATTTTCCAAGTTTACGAATAGACAGATTTACGCACCACGATATTATAAGTTAATGTGCTGAGTCAAAGCTTAAAAATTACCAAGCTTAGCCTATCTTATGCCAACACTGCGGAAGTAAAATGCACATATTTAGAGAATTAGAAGTTTTTAATTATGTTCAAATAATCTTCCTGATCTTTTATCTGATTAAATACCAACGAGTATGATGTTACGATAATTAGGTCTTGGATACCAACATATTTTTTGGATCAATGTGTGTTAATGAGAATGTGTATAATGCTATCAGTCTTATCAGTTGCTAATTAATTAAAATCAGTTTATATTAATGTATCAATTTCAATGTCCTGAAGAACATGGATATTTTGTTGGATAATAAATGGTAGGTATTTGATTTTTCCACATTTTTGTTGTCAATTTGAATGTGTGTTGTATATAGTAAATTGCTATAATACTTTCCACTATGATATTTTTTTTATATATTATTTTTCTATGGCGAACATTTGAAAAATTCAGGAAAATATAAAAGTTTACAGTCAAGTTCTATTCAGCCCCATGGGATAAAACGTTTACCACGAGAAAAGTTAGATAACCATTTGAAGAACATTTTTTACATGGGATATAGGATGGAAATGGGATAAAAGAGAACGTATTGAAAGAACCAAATGACGTGAAAAATATTCAGACTAAAATAAACCTGTCAATTTTTTTTTCTTATTAAAATATCAATATTCATACAATTCATAAATATTGCACAGTGTCATTATTTATCTATGGAGAAACTAAATACAAATTTATAATAAATTAACAATAATTTTTCTATGAAATACTTTCTAAGATCTCTCAACAAAAAAGTCAAATATCATGTGTTATTATGTGTATTTTTTAATTCAAATTCTCGAATGCCTTGTGAAAATATTGAAAGAGTCATTGAATAAAATTTCAGGTCTAATGACATTCAACAATCGTCTTTTTAAATTTTAACAGAGAGTTGAAATGTTCATGTTATGCCTCGTTAAAGTGTGTAGATATTTTGCAGAATACAGCTAGCTTTGTATGACACAATGAAAAGCATTTCTGGAATATTCAAGTACCAGTAAAACCACCTTATATACTACCAGCCAATTAGAACATATATACAAATTTTCAAACCCCCTACAACTTCATACTTTAACCCAAGTACAAAAACCCGAACTCTAAAACTAAAGAGATGCTAAGGAATGTTGAACAAAGTTGTGCCAAGAATTTGGCTAAGGGAGCTGGAAGTCAAGTGTTACTTACAAAATAAAGTAGAAATTATTACACAAGTAGTTGCATTCGTATTATTTTTTAATTTTTTTTTCGCTTCCCCTTTTGAAGGGGCATTCCACGAGATTTCTACTACTTTAAGTACTATTATTTACTACAAGTGATGATCATACATACGAATAAACCCACTAAAATAAATGGTTGATTATTGATGAATAATTATAAAACTTAATGAAGCTAATATTGATGTAATCATAAAAAAACAAATTCAATTTGTTATTATTTAACAAATTCTCTAGCTGGTGTATTTAATTTAATTCATAAATTCAGTGAATCATTTTATACAAATGTTAGTATACTGATGCTGTCATACTATCACTCATAGAGATTTGAATAATATTGTTTTCTTTCCCTTTCAGAAAATAATGAGGAAAACAAATACTTTTCAGTGACAAGTGAACATGTAATGCTATAAATTTTAGAGAATTATCTTCTTTAACCCATATACAACTATCAACATTTGTTTATAACATTCAAACATCAATCATTCATCATTGAATTACTTATTTTTATTAATCAATTAAATGTTTTGTTTTTACAATTGAGTTTGAAATTGTGTCATAACGAATGAAAGGGGAAACAATCTCACAAAGATTAACTTTATAAAAACTATTAATATTTTTTTATCTACTTGACTTAATTCATTCCTAAAATTTTTACAGACTTGTAGGATTTTTCCTTTGCTAATAAACAACGACAAAAATTATCAAAATCATTACTGTCAAGTTATCTTATTTGTAGTGTGATTATAAGTAGATACACACCACTCCAAACAGTTTAGCTTTGACCGGACGGAAATTTCCATTTCCCCCGAGTTTCGTCGGCAATTAGAACGATTACTCAGTGCTCCCTTGCCGTATAATGTTCTGCCTACTTTTGTACTAATGTATTAAAGTATTAACGTTTTGCCTATATGATTAAATCATACATAAATACATTTTTGACATCGATATAATATTTAAAATATTTGTTTCTTTAGTAAAATCCATCTCCAAATTTATTCTTGTATTTACTGATGTAGGTTAATATTATCTGATTAAGACAAGAATCTATACAGACTTGTTACAGCAAACTTGTAAACTAAACTTGTACAGGACTAGCAGGATATGCATAAGTATTATTTGCAGAGCAATTAACCGATAGTATGCATATGTATGCTACACAAATGATGTTAGAGTGCTTATTATTCTGCTTTACGACTAGTCGACTCATTGAAATTGTAATCACTGAGATCTACGTTAAGTTCCAACAATCTCATCAGTTAATAATATCGAATTTTTATTTATTTTATTAGATACCATTTATTTTTGAAATTAACACTCGTATGGTAATTAACTCGATTTTTCAAAAGGATCTCATAATTCAACTATCTAGTCTAGATAACGATCAATTATATACTGGAATTAAATATAAAAAAATATTACAATTTTAATGAAAACATCTTTGTATATTTATTATAAATTTATTTCAACCAAACGAAATTTTATCTGAATGTTTGATAATTTTTCTATGAAATTTTGAAAATTTAATTTTATTCCATTAGGGTTAACATAAAGCTCGTCAACAAAGTCCATGCAAAAAATATTCATTTGTTCTAATCGTTTATTTAAACATTTTATATTAAATTGTAATATTGCATTGTAACTAAAAAATGCATTGTAAAGCTTTCAATATTAGATTTCACTTCGTAATTTATTTTTAATGATAATACGTACATATAATTGATGGTCAAATAATCTTTTTGGGTAAAATTTTGAAGTCTTTAATGCTTTCTTAATGTTACTTAAAAAATTTAACTTTTGACCTGAACAAATTAAAATTACATTGAGTACCAACCCACGTAAACTTATAACCTAAGTCTTCTATTACCATCATAATAACTCGGAGTAAAGAAGATGTTATGACCATTCTTAGTTTACTTTTATTTACTACTTTTTGATTTTCTTCAAGATACCACCTATTATTGATTATCAATATAAATTCTATAAAATACATGCTCGTTGAATGACACAGAAAAAGACCTCACAATTAATGTGAAAAATTTATTTGAATTTTTAAATTATTTGCAGAGTTCTGATTAACACACTTTCAACGAAGTTCAATACAAAACACAGTCACTTCACCAGATGTGCAGCCTAGAGTAATAATTACAATATTATTCTCGAGGGCACAATTTGTAAAAATAATTATTACACAATTTATGCTAACTTTTATCATACGTGAATTGATAGAAATTACATTTTTGTTAGTAAAATGTCAATATGATGTATATCAAGACATGTTTGCTCAATAAGCACTAACAAGCGACACACGCTTATCATGATTTTCATGTAGCAAATTTACAGTACAGGATAATTACAATAACTTTCTTTCCTATTATTTCTTACATTGACTCATATAGCCAACCAGTGTCATTATAATATAACTAATTTGATGAAAATAAATATATTATTCTCCAAGAGAAAAAAATATACTCCACTTAAAAATCGTAGAACATATCTTTCATTGGAATATCTATACGCATATCGCAGTTTAAAATAATATCTATTGAGATCGCTGAGAGTACAAAATAATATACAATTATTCTTAGAATGCATTCTCATATTTATTTGATTTATTAAACACAGTGTGAATAGAATACTAGAAGCAAACCTGTTCAAAACTAGTTTGTTTTTTCTGCACTTGCCTTTTTCAAGTGCTGATCTTCATCATGGAGGATCGTATACCGTTGACCAAGATCCTCATTTATACGCTTCCTTTTCTCTCAATACCGTTATAGTAAAATAATTGATTATTTCGCCATCATTAGATTAATAGGACTCGAGACGATAAGCCTTTCCTACATAGCTTTTAGTTGTTCAATTGAGACACTTGTTCTTCCTCAAGCCAATTACATTAATTACACAACTAAATGTCATGAAATTCGTATTCAGTTGCATAAAAAAAAATCTGCACTTAAAAAAAAATTATTCTCAGCAAAGTATGAGCGCAAATAAATAATTCACAATTACATTATATTTCATTTAATTTCTCTAATTTTCCGAGTTTTTCCAACTTGCTAGTGGTTTTCAGCTTTTTTTTTTTATTCTTTTTTCAAGTCTTGACTCTACGCAACTTCCAGTCATAAGATTAAAACAGTCCAAGATAACGAGAACTGCATGCGGTAGTATATGTGGTACTTTTACATTTTTTAAAAATGTTTCTCTTCTTTTTCATTATTTTCTTTCCTTCCAGATTATTATAAAATTTTATCAAATTTCTTTATCTATTGAAATTTTATTTCTTATAAAAAAAGTTATTATTTAAGTTTCCTATTTTAAAAAAAATAATCATGTAATCATTAGTTTCTTTAAATATTAATCGATATTTTATTTTCTCTTATTTGTATTAATAATCTAATATAACTAATTGATTTTTAGGTATAGAATAAAAAATGATACATAATGCTAGTCTATAAAATAGTTTAATATTTTTTTGCTTATTATTATATTTACATTAATTTTAATGGTTAAAATAACCATTTTTAAGGTAAATCAAAATTTTAAGGTAAATAAAAATATTTATGTCAAAATGGTTGTTAATTAAAAAATATTCAAGTATCTACCTTTATACAATATGTGAAATTGTAATTAATTAGATGTAAATGGAAGTTAAACTTTTTCAATAAAAAATCAAAAAAAAAGTTCAACAATTATGACTTGAATGTAAGCAATACTAAAAGTCATTTTTTGTACTTTGTACTTTATTTCAATTTTAAAAGTATAAATGAAATATAACAAGAAAGTTTTTAATTTAAAAAAATTGATTTGATTTCAAAATGTTTCTTACCTCAATAAATGTGAATATGTATAAAAGGTTATTAACGTAATTGTAATTATCTTTCCTGTTGTAAAATAATTCTTCAGGGTAAAGACACAGTACTTCTTAATGGAAATTTAGTTGGTGGATAAAGATTTGATGTCGTACTAGGTAATATACTGAACTTTAGCGTTACTTGCAATCAAGAATGGCTCGTTTACTTTCTCGCAGCAATCTTGTTCATGGCATTACTTGCGGTTCGCGCTCTAAAACCAAAGAACAGACTCTAATGACGACATAAATTCGTAAAACCGAACTACAATTATAGAAAAAGACATTTTAAATCGTGATACGGATGAATTAAAGAAATTTATTTGATGACTAATATTAAATAGGATAATAAAGCGTTAAGTTTATAGAAAAGATTTGTTAAAATTATTCAGTTTTAGAATATTAACTTGGGGGAAAGCTATTGATTTAAATCTATTTGCTTGAACCTTGGAATACTCATGATATAAATACATAAATATACTGGAAAAAATAATATATAATAAAATATGATCATTTCGAATTGATTATATTGAGTAAAAGATATTTTAGTTATGATAAGATAGAAAATAAATTCTTTATTGGAAATATTTGTTTATAATAAAGCCAATTAAAAATATATGTCCTGAAATTAATGTAAATATAATAAGTGTTATACATCATTAAAATACAAATTATGATACTATTATTTGTTAATGAATATGCTTCTGATGTAGATAATAATTTATATTTTTTTCACCAAAGTTTCTGTGGTATACACGGTCTACCCTTTCATAAATTATTTTATGAGCTTGAAATCAATGCAAGTATACGAAAAATAATGTGAAAGAGGTAGACAACTAGGTATTTTTAAATAAAATTAAAAATTATTCCATTGTTACATTGTTAACATAAAGTTTAGATGTAAAAATTACCGAAAAACAATGACATAGCATAAACAATGTATTTTTTTACTTCAAGAAAATATTTTATCCAATGTATACAAACGATCATACAACATTCGGCTTCTTTATGAAGCATCATCATATCAGGCGTCTGCGAGATAAGCATCGTCTGACTCTCCCGGTGCATAATACTGAGTTAATTAACGGAGAGTAACATTGATACAGTGAAAGCATTCTTTAATACTATCAAGAATGATGGGAAAAAATGGACACAAGATATGAAGACGATGGAATTTAAAAATGAGACATGGATAAATTCTTTTGTAATAATACATTGCTTGCAAACAATGCGAACTGCTATTAAGAATGTGATAATAACAATTTGATGACAATAATTGCAGAAGCTTTAAAAATAACGGATATAAATGATTATTTACCTGATCTAATGTTTTTCCAGTGCCAACGTTAACAGTTCATTCATCGTTGTCAACAGTATCCTGGGGTCTTCCACGAGACCAGCGCCAACCATTGCTCCGGTAAATAACTGTAAGTACAATTTTTTCATGATTATTATATGACTTCGTAATAACATATCTACCGTAGTAAAAAAAAAAAAAATGATTATTTTTTTAATTTTATAATTTTACAAAAACAAATGAAATATTGGACATCTTAAAATATTATTCCAGTAGGAATAAACTGTACTAATATGACCTAAAAACCTCAAGAATACGGAAATAACTTGAAATGAAGCATAATAAAAATGATTATTTAAACTTACTTTCGAAAACTTCATAAAAATATAAATAAATGATATTTTTTGATAAACGATTATATGAAAGTGATAAAGATATACTTTAGTAACTGTCTTATTTGAAAATGTTATGGTAAAAATAATTAAAAATTATTATCTACAGGAGTTCAAGAAGTAAATTTATTGACTTCTTTGCAATTTGTATTACTTTCGAAAATATGAAAAAGCCTGATAAATATATTGTTTACATTTTATTATAGGGAAGTGATAAGAGTATTAATAACGTTAATAGGTCAATTCATATCTTGACTACTTTCTCAGTATATCAAAAAATTTGCAATATTGAAATCAATTATGCTTATAATTTCTTCACCTTCTCGATTTCTATCAATTCATTTCATTTTATTGTATCAATTAATATCATTTCCTACGCCTTGTTTCTTTTCATCAATTTTTCTGATAATCAGTGATAATTAGTATGAAAAAAACTTTTTAAAAAAGTTCAAGATTTCAAATCAATTTTAATCATACTTTTAACCTTAAACCTGAACTCGTTAAACGTTTTCGAAGGTATTTTAAAAATAGAACTTTTTCTTTAGAATACATTTCTAGTGAGAGCATAACAGTATAATGATCAAGGAGAAATTAAACCAAATGTTTATCGGAACGAATATCAATTAAAAGAATTTGTTTTCAATAAAATATAATTTCAGCTCCTTTCTTATTGACACTTAATAGCTCATTATAGTCGATAAATTAAGGAAAGATCAAAGAAAAATACTAGGAATTCATTATTTTTCACTTCCATTAATTCCCGTGAAATTCCGACTAAATTCCGTTTTCATTCTATCTTACCGGAATCTCGAAAAATTTTATATTCAAATGACTAACATTCTAGAAACTTTTTACAATAAAATAACACTTTTTTGTTAGAGTAAAACGCCTATTGTAAATAAATTAATAATCTAAGTAACGATTCATACTAAACTTTTTACAATCATAAACTAATAAAAAGAAGATTTACCTGTTGAGTAAGAAGCTCAGCAAGTTTAGGATCTTTAGTAATTAATTCCGAGAGCTTCTTAATGATTGGATGATTTGGATTAATTTCAAAGCGTGGTTGGAGTAGACTATATCTCATTTCCTCGTTCATGTTATGACTTTGGGTACGAATAAAGTATCTAGCACTAGCCATATCTTGCACTGTTATTACACAAGGATGCGATTCTAGTCGATTCGTAACTTTGACTTCGTGAGCTTTCTTTGGCAAAACTCCTTTTATGTAAGTAACAAGCTTATCCATTTCTTCTTTATTTATAGATTCAAAAAGTTTATCCTTTGAAGATTCACTGTTATCCCGCATTTCTTTTTCCACTGATGTCAAAAATCTTGAATTAAAACGTCCCAAATGCACTAGTACTAATTCATCATAGGGTTCATAGCAAAAGAGTACTTCATAATTACGTTTCTTAAATGATTCATAATAAGGAGATTGCTCAGCAAGTTGACGGCTCGGTGCCGCTAAATAATAAATGTCTTTTTGATCTGGAGATAGTCCTTGACAGTATTGAGGTAAGCTAACAAGTTCTCCAGCAGGTTTAGCTGACGATTCAAAACGTAAAAGCTTTCCAACAGCTTCTTTTTCTGATTCATCATTGCTGGTAACTATTCCTTCTTTTAAAAATAATCCATAGTCTTTGTAAAACTCCGTGTAACTTTCCGGTTCTTTAGTTGATTTTTCATAGAGATGTTTCAATATTCGAGTTGTTAAGACATTTCTCAGTTTCGTTATGAGTGCACTATTTTGTAACAATTCACGACTCAAATTCAAAGGAATATCTTCTGAATCAACGACGCCTTTTATAAAACGAAGCCACTTTGGTAGAATATTATCGGTTTTGCTTTTTATCAAAACTTTGCGGCTGTATAACGATACTCCCATAGATGTATCTCTGCTTAAGTCAAAGAGACTTGGTTTCGAATCGGGAAAATATAAAAGTGCTCTTATACTCAAAGGTACATCGGTTGTGTAGTGTAATATAAAACGAGGAGCATCATAGGAATTAGATATATAACGATAGAATTCTGCATGTTGCTCAGCAGTTACTTCTTTTGGATCCAACATCCATATTGGTTGAATTGTGTTCACTTGCTTGCCATTAACGAAAATTGGACTTCCAACAAAGTTACTATACTTCTGGATAACTCCATTTATCACTGATTCATCACTAAACTCTCGGCAATCTGGTCTCAAGTGTATTACTATTTTTGTACCAGGCTGAACCCCTTCTGCAGTTGTGATTTCATAAGTTCCTAAGCTAAAAAAAATATTTATGGTTGATATTAGTCATAAATTATAATCATTAAATTAATGGGAATGATTTATTTCATTGATAAAAAACTCAATTGAAGCAACTACTTCAATAATAAAGATTAATTCAATATTTAGAATAATTTTAATTTAATTAATTACTTGTAAATTATTCTTCACTTTTTAATTAAAAATAAAATACATTTTTCTCATTATGTCAATGTTCTTTTAGGTAACGGTCGAAAAAATTTTTAAATCTCTCAATTTTTTTAGTAAGAGTATCACTTAAAGCACCATTTTATGAGTCGAAAAAGTTCAACAAAGAAATAGTCTATTTATTTTTAATTAAGTCTACTTTTCATATGCATTCTTTTCAAGGATAAGTGCTTAAATAGCAGAGACATGAAAAGTCAATATGATTTAAGAGTAAGATGTTTCTTTTGAACTTTGGCAAGTAAGTTTTACGAAAAAATGGTCTAAAAAACGGAATGAATATAAGCCAAATTTTTGCTCTTTACCCTTCAGATGACCAATATAATCCCTCGGCGTCTTTTTTATAAGATTTAGTGAATACTTCAACTTTTTCAGCAACCATGAATGCACTGTAAAACCCTACGCCAAATTGGCCAATAATGTTGCTGGGATCCTCAGAAGCTTTTTTTTCTTTCAACTGATCTATAAAAGCCTGAAGTATAAAGAATAAAAAAATATTCAAAGATTACAATAAAATACAAGAATGATATTTAATGAATTGTTATTACCTTTGAGCCAGATCGTGCAATGGTACCAAGATTTGAAATCAATTCTTCTCTAGTCATACCAATACCTGTATCTTGAATAGTTAAAATGCGATTTTGTTTATTTGTCACGATATGTATTTCTAAATTCCTGTCTCCTCCTTCTTCTACGGATAAATTTTCACTCAATCTCATGTATCGTAATTTTTCAAGTGCATCGCTCGCATTTGAAACCAATTCACGAACAAATACCTGAAAATAAATGATGCGTCAAGTTAACAATATGAAGATTAATAATGTATCAATAATTTATTGCGTACATGGTAATTTATAAATAAACTTTCTTGACATTTACAAAGAAATATCTGTGATGTACGATTGTTAACTTTTCAAGTTCAGATACAAAATAATTAAATATTGTTTTAATTAATAGAAAATTGATCAATAACAGATACTTGAAAAATTTCTAGTATTTATATTTATTGTAAACTTACTTCTTTATCTGAATACAATGATTTAGCTACAATTTCCAAGAGCTTTTGAGTTTCAGATTTAAATTCATGTTTTACACTCTCACCTGGAATTAATTGAAGAATGCAATTAGTAAATTAAGATAAAAATAAAAAAATTAAAAGAAATAATCACCTGTAGGTTTCTCAGTATCCTGTACTATATTATGATAATCCTCTTTTACAGTTTCTTCCTTTACACTTTCTGATGCTGCTTGTGAAGAGAGAGCTCTGACATGATATTTCGAAAATACTGTTGAAATAATCAAAAAACATTTTTACAAAATTTAAATTATTATTTATTTCCTAAACATAACCTTTGCTTTTATTTAATCAATGAATATAACTGGATATACAGAAATAATACATACATACTGGATGTCTCAGCCGTGATTTTATGGCGCATAATTTATTTGTACTATTATTTAAATAGTAAAGAGATTTTGCAAGTTGTGTTACACGTGAAAGCCGGTATATCGTCGTCATTGTGAAGTCTATTGATATTGTTTATTCTTTCTCACAGCATACACTCGTGTACAATTTTTAAAGTAAAAACAAGAAATTTTAGATTGACAACCTAAACTATTATAGTTTTATCAACTATCTAATATAAAGTTCTACTCTAAAAATCAAATGATACCTGAAATTTATTTTATTTATTCTTTCTAATCTTTACAAAAAATTTCCAAGCTCATCACATGAACATTGAACAAGTCCAACATTCAGCTAATGTCTCTTTCAAATTTTTAGTTGAGAACCTCCATTACATTTACCCTGGGATAATGAAATAGTAGATAAGAAATTGTCGTCTAGAAATAAAGTTTATCGCCACCTACAACTAAACAAGTAATCAGAAAAGCTCGATAGTATCATTTAGAATCCCGCCGAAATTTTTAATTAAGGCTGGACTCAAGCAGAGAAGAGAGACCAGTATAGAAGTCCAATGCTCTGTTGAAAATCCGGACGAAGTTTCGGTCAACATGTAGGTATTTTGGGTCAACATGTCGGTAATCTCAGATCACAACATGAAAGTTTCTGTGAACCCATCGAACGATGGCGCTGCAACGGTTTATTCTAGCCACGGACCTTGATCTAAGAAAGAAAAGAGATAAGATTTGTGTTTTCTTTTACTCTCATTATAAGAATCCTAAGCCAGTTTAGTTTCAAGCACCACTTTATAAATGGAAAAGCTCCAGCTCTGTTCGCAACATACATAGAAGCTATAAAACCGATTTGATATTTTGATAACAACCCAGAGAAAACACGCTCGACTACGAAAATGTAGGTTTTGTGTTGAAGCCAATCAATGTCATTTTTTTTTTTTTATTTTAATTAATTGTAATAATTGATATTTTCAGGACAAATTTCATATGCAATGACGCTAAAGAAGAGAAAAAAATGATGTACGACCAAAGCAATTTTTTTATAACAAAGAACGATGTTTATAAGGAGAAAAAAAAAAAATTTAATTATGAATGATGCTAATGAGTCGAAGACTTCGATAATGATATTGATAATATTGATGACATATTTTTAAAAAAAAAATATTTCATATGATAACAATATTTTTTTGAAGAATAGTCAAAATTATGATCCGAGCAAAATTTATGCTATAATTGCAGCCATTTCCGGTTTCACCTTTATTCCCCGTTCTAGGACCGTTAAAGTAAATTGTTATTTAAGGTTGAATTTCAGAGCATTGATTTAAACAGAAGAACCCCCAATCATGAAAATCGGGGAATTTCCTTTTCTAACCTCAAAAAATGCGAAAAATTGTATTTATGCTTGGATCATAAGATTAAGTATGTCATTGGAAAGAGGGGGACGAGACGGGTTCCGAACCCTGGCTATCAACTGTAATTGGTTGGTAAAATCAAGAGATATTCCTGAAAATCTACAAAACATAAAAAGATGCATAACTTCTATGTAAATGATGCTACGGGGTTGATCGTGGGCTCATATGGAAGATCGGGACCTAAGTGAAGAATTCGATTCCCCCTATAGGATAACCCCGTCAAAAATGCCGTATCTCGCTTAGTTTTCGAGTTATGAGCGTTTAAAGGTTTTTCCATGTTCCATTGGAGCATAGCTTTGTTTTCCTCCCATAATTCACGATCTATAAGAGATACATGGGCCGCAAGCATATCAATAGATTCCCGAGAGCAAGAGCTTTCCATTGATGTAGTAGAAATTATGATTTAAGCTGAATTTATGCTATAATTGCAGCCATTTCCGGTTTCACCTTTATTCCCCGTTCTAGGGTCGTTAAAATAAATTGTTATTTAAGGTTGAATTTCAGAGCATTGATTCAAACAGAAGAACCCCCAATCATCAGAATCGGGGAATTTTCTTTTCTAACCTCAAAAAATGCGAAAAATCGTATTTATGTCTGGATTCATATTAACCCCAAAAATTATTGACCCTTCGGCTTTCGGCCTTTATTACTCGTGAATAAATGGTTCTATAATAATTTTCGAGGGCTCTTTAGAAACTGTAGACTCTCAGCTAGAGATATGTATGCATAAAAAGTGTGTACTAAATTTTCTTTGACTTGAAATTGCATAAACACTTGGAAAACTCTTTCAAAGAAATGTGACTTTTGTACTTTTCTTGCGATTTGAGGGTCGAAAGAAATTTAGTAAACACTTTTTATGCATATTTTTATCAAGCTCCTTTTATCTAGTGCATCCCTGAAAATTATCATTTTTCGAATGGTTTCCTTGTTACCTACACGTGTTTACTTGGCATCCAGCTTCGACCTTCCACAGCACAACGCCAGAGTGTGTATTCTATTCCTGAAAGCCGATGTTCTTCTATGTATCATCTCATTCTTCTGGTGTACGTTGAAATCGAGGTTCTCAGTCAAAAATTTGAAAACGAAACTGAACAGTAGCGGATTCAGGCCTATTCATAACATAAATGCAGCAATACAGGAATTGTTAGATTCCTTCAAATAAAATGATCATATTATTGGAACAGTTGTGATTGTTTATTCCTTATTTTTGGCATGAATATTTAACTGAATTTCGATTAATTCAATATAATAATAAAATAAGAAATATTGCATTGTAAAAACTTGTACTTTTATCATCAATAAAAATGTCTGGGGAGAAGTAATATTTTATATTTCATATTACTCCATGTACAAATGAAATGAAAAATTCTATGTTGCATATAAATTCATTTATTATGGTAATGGTTATTTGTATAATATATTTAAAACAATATTACTCTACAACATTGCATAAAAATATACAAAGACATGAAAAAATGTCTCGACTCTCATACAATAAAACACGTTGGTAAATAATTTACCATTGATACATTGTTTAATCGTAACCAAATATAACTTATTAGTTGCTCGTTTCATCAATATTATTATAATTTATTTTTATTATCATAATTATGATTTATGATTATGATTAATATCCTTATTACTATTTTTGTTTTTATCATCTTCATTGTTATTATCATTACTATTATTTTTATTTTTATTATTATTTATGATTATCATTATTGTTACTACATAACATCTGCATTCTGTCGATGTTGATAATGTATTGCTTAATAATCTATTTTATAAAGAATTCACGGTTCTTTTGTTGCTTACTTACACAATTCATTACTTGTAGTCATAATACAAATTTCATTGATTAATTAATATGTAACTAAAAAGAATATGGATAAATCCAGAAATAAAACTAGTAAATAAAAAAAAAATCTTATTTTTTGGAATGCGCTGTACTTGAAATATAAAATACAATACAAAGATGTCTTACGAAAATGTCACATGTTTAGGCACGGCCAAATGGTTGAGCTTTACAATAATCAATTTCAGTCGTAAACTAATTAGCTTTAAAAAATGTATTATTTAAAATGAATTAATGGTACTCACAAAAATGAAACGCGCAGTAGAAATTGATATAATTCTTTTTAAAGTTGTTTTAAAAAACATCAGTTATTTTTCATTTCTTTATCGAGAACAGTATAGCCATATTCACATATACGTTGTTTAGTATTCATTTATTATTTTTCGGTCATTATTTAGTATTTAGTTCACAGATATTTGAATATATAAATATTTTTACTGTTGAAATAAATAATAGATAACGTTGGTATTTACAAAAAAAATTTCTCAATTTTCGTAACAATACTAAATTGTTTGTTCATTTGTCATGATACGTTGGATAAATTATCTTTGTATTTCATTTTTTTGAAAGATTATTCAACTTTATAATGTAAATAGATTATAAATCACAATAAACACTCATAGATCATTAATAATATAATAAATTAATTTCACTAATTAAATAAGTCATTAAAAAAATTTATGAAACTCATCTCAGAAGAAGATAAATATATTTATTAATTTATAAATATTTTATATTTAACATAACTAAAATTGATCAATAATTTCTTACATTTATTTATTATTGCAAATAATTCATTATAATAATTGTTATTATTATAACTGTAATAATTCTAAAATAACATTAATGTATAATTAGGTGTTGCTGTATAAAAAATGAAGATACTAAATTTATTAATTTTAGTTTAATTGTTTCATATTGAAACTTAAAATCATTACAAATCGTAACATTTGTTTCTGATATTATATTTGAAAATTGGTCCCTATATAGTTTGTTTGATAAAATTATTCCAGTTATTTTCTTCACTTTTGAATTATATAAAGTATGAAAATATTACTCGAAAAATTTTACTTTTAAATAATAAATAAAATTCAATATACAAAACACTAATATGATTCAATTTCATCTTTATGTGGCACTTTAGTTGTTTAATTTAATGTCAATATGTAATAAATAACAATATTTCGTCCGACCACTTTGTATAATGGAAAATGTTTAGATTAATTTTGTTTACTTTATGGAATCTATATAATTTTTCAATAATTTTGACTCCATTATTTTTAATGGAATGTAAAATGAAAACATTCTCATTAATACAATTATTCTAAACTCATTTTCCAGCAACATTGACATTTTTTTATCATTTTAAATAATTAATTATTTTGTTAAATAAATCCATTTAACCAACGTATCATGGAAATTTTAGACACAACATTTTGAGTGAATAGCGAAATTGAACTTCCAAAAAATCATGAAAAAAATAATCCCACTATCTATAAAAGGCGATTTATCTACTTATTAATTACAACTTATTAATAATTAGTATTATTTATAATAATGATAATTCACTATGTATTGTACAATATATATGCATTTCCAAAGCTGCATAAGGGAAGAATACAGTTCGTTGTGCTGAGAGCGGAAGCTACCCGCACGTTAATAACCATTTGCATATTGAAATGCAGTACAACACATTTGAGAGCATTAATGAATGTACCTTTATCAAATAACCCAATGGGCTATTTATCACTGTAGTTATTTAACTTTTCGGAATATTTTTTTCAATTTGCTGCTATTTATATACAACCACTAAAAATTAATCTAAAACCAACTTATTTACGTATTTTATTGGCTTAAACATTTTTGCATGATATTTACAGTGAAAATAAAATTAATTTAATTCATCCTGTAAAAACTGGATGTCGTAGTATATAATGCATAATTGCTTGATAAAAAATGCACCTATCTAATATTTATCTTTTAACATTTTTACGGGAAGATGACACTAATTTCATTTTTCTTAATCAATTCACTTTGTTTTCATAACATTCGGATTTATGGACAGAATATTAATCAAGTTTCAGAGCAATCTTGTTCTCAATTACCGTCCATGATAAATCCGAAATCTTCCTATAATTGACTTTATTTCAACTATAAATTGATAATGACATTGTGGTCACACATTTGATTATACTTTAATCACTATAATTGTTTGTTATGTCAAATACACAAATAAGTCAATAATATGACTCAATATTATATACTAACATGATACATACATAATTTTTATATATTGGCTATGAAAAAATAAATGTTACATAAAATCCTTTCGTTAATAATTATTTCTTTTTTTCATTGACATTATTTCATATTTATAACTGATCAATGTCATTTGATCTTCCAAATGATTTTATATAAGTAACGTGATTTATACATTTCTAACTAATATAAAACGGTGGCTCGGCATAGAAAACATAAAAAGGAAGAATTGCATTTATAGAGTGCTCGTCAAAGGTATACGTCGACAAGGGCACTCACCTAAAGAAAGTCAGAGAGAGTAAGCATTTTTACTATTGCTTTTGCACTCTCTTTCTACTTTCTGTATAATTATTATTTATAATAATAATTCAAATAATAATAAAAATAAGAATAATAAAATAATATCATATTAATATAATATAATATAATATTCATAATAATTATTATTAAATTGACTAAAATGTAATTGCCTATTAGATGAACAGCATTTTTTGAACAATCTGGCCCGAAAACGTTAACGGCAGTAGTTTTTTAATATACTTTAAATATTTTTTTGTTAAATTCATTGTTTTGTTACGAATTTAAATTGGTCATTATTTAGTCCACAAATTTTGCTAAAAGACCAACAGGAATCTTCAAGATAATTTATAATTTCATTGAATATTGAAATTTAATTTTTATAAAATATCGAGATTAAACCCTGCTGTTGAATCCAACGAGTTAAGAAGCTCTTGAGCGCTAAAATTTGATGTATCACCTGTTGGAAGATTTTCTAAAAATTCAAGACTAAAATCTGCTGCTGCCACTGACGGGTCTGTTGATGTTACAGATTGTTGATTATGCTGCTGTTGAGGTAAATTCATTACTCCAGGACTACCCGCTCCGTATTGTTGATGAGGATGTAATGGAGATCCTGTTGATTATTTAAACAAAAAGATTATTACTTGTTAAAGCAAAAAATATTAGTGTAAATAACGAACTTGGTTGAATACTTTTAGTTGTTTAATAATTAATAATTTTGAACAAAATGAATAGAAAGTATTTGAACGTTTGTATATTTTATCAATAAGATTCTTAAAACTTCTATTGTTTTTGTTTGTAATAAATCGATAGTCAGGTAATACTAGGCAACATAGGATGGGTAAGTAATATTAGAAAGTGCGAGAAGCGATGAGAATACAAGTAGAATGCTTTTCAAAAGAACGGATGATTAGGTGTAGGGCAACTGTGGTGTTATGAGGAAGCTTAGACAGGTAATTTAATGAGTAAAATTGATACTTGCCCGTACCAGTACTTGAAACTGAATTAACTGAAGATGATTGTGACATTTGCATTTGCATCGTTGACATTTGATTGTTTCCTTGTTGCACTGCGATCGTTTGATGTTGTTGAGACAATATCTGTTGCATCTGTGAATTACTACTTATAGCATTGTTGCCCATTCCTGTATTCTGTGATCGAATCAACTGCTGATGTTGCATTTGTGTCGCAGTCATTTGCATTCCAGCTGTATTGCCCATGCCGAAGCCACCTTTAATTTAAGTTATTATAAACATTATGATTCTATTGATCCAAACATTTTATGTCCTAATAATTGTCCTTCATCACAACCCTTTTGCTTTTCAAGGAAACTTCTCTACTGACTTTCACCCCTTTTCAATGTAATTTAAACTAATTCACGCCCAACAGTTTGTAACTTCTCTTCTGCGGTAATAGACCGTCTTACGATCTCTAAACTATACATTATTCGCATAAGGAAACTGTGATGACTGGTATCAATATAGCTGGTCAAAGTTATATTATTAACTCTATGATTCGTCAGTGTTCAATTGTGGTTCTAAGTATTTTCAAGACAAGTTGAAATTAGAAATCAAAGCTCAATTGTGGCTTCATGGAAATTATTTAGTTTATATAATTTTGATTAATGTGATAGACATAGATTGTTTAATAATTATGATCTTTTCTTTAATAACATATCAAAATAAAGTAACTAAAATATAATTTTATTTTAATTTTCTATTTAATGACATCTATCATTCAGTTGAATAAAAACATTTTTCAATTTTATTTATGGCAACTCAAGATCTGAATGATGAAAAAAGATGAAAATGTTCATAGAGAAACATCTGAACTAAGATTAATAAGTCTGAAACTATTTCTGATAATGTAATCATGAGTTCTAATGGAGTCTATTCAATAATATTTTATGAGTAATCTTATAAAAATGGCAGAAATTCCGATTTTATCATGAGGACTGTCTATTTACGGAATTTATTCGGTTCCTCAGAATATGATTTATAAAAGTTAGAAAGCTTCTTTTAACGAATATTTTCATAAAAAATCACAACTTGTTATTGATTTAAATAAGATTTAATAAATAAATGTATTAAACAATCATTGATGAAAATATTTACCTTGATGACTTTGTTGATTAAACTGTGGTCGCATTTGTGCTTGAAAGGTCTGCTGTTGCATTAGAAGATGTCGCCATTCCTGCTGTGTAGTTGTACGGCTTCCGATGTTATTACCTAATCCGTCCGGAGGGCCTACACTTACATTAGGCGGTCGTTGATTATTAGTCCTTGGATATCCTAGCCTTTGATGCATCTGGTGCATTCCACCAATTGCAGCTATGCTACCAACACCCCCCATATACATATTACCACCCGCTCCATGTAACGCTTGTTGTTGTTGCTGTTGTTGTTGATGTTGCTGTTGTTGCTGTATCAATGGTGGCCTCATCATTGGACCTATGATATAAATTATCAAAATATTATCTTGTTAATAATTGTTGCGAATTATTTTTGACAAACAATTAATATGCTCATCACTAACAATATATGTAATTATCATTTATTCACAATAAGGCTTTATGTATGAATAAAAGTGGATTATGAAGCTCTAGAATTTTTTCTTCAACTTTATATGAACTTAATTATCTCTAATAGAGCTCTTGTACTATTTATTAGAATAAAATAATTGTATGTTTGAATTGAAAAAGTAAAAATTGTCCTTATCATTACCGATAAATCAACTTGTGATTACTTTTATTTAAATTTTCGACAATATTGTAGATTATTTAATTTTTTCCTATAAATTAAATACGTTAAAAAGTTCAAACTTGCTTAGAGCTTCATAAAAATATAGAAATTAAATACGTTTTAATATAAATGTTAATTATAATTAATAATCATTCCCATTATTCTTGATTTTCTAGACTATCATTAGATTTTCGTGCTCAATTTGAAAAAATAAAAGTTAATTTGAAACAATGATAAAATCCTAAAAAATTGACCTCAATAAATTAATGTAGATCTTTATGAATCACTTCTGTTGAATTTTCTTTGTTTATATTATTTGAATTCTCAGCAAAAATCTTTACTGGACTTTAGATTACTTTATTGAATACATCAAAATAATATAAAATCAAATGAGAAGTAGATTTACGAAAATTGATTGAAATTAATTTTCCATACAAATTTAATACTTGTAAATCTTATCATTTTTTCTCAAGTATTTGAAATTTTATTCATAGAAATTTGCTTTATGATTCAAAGTAAACCTTGAATGCTACTCATTATAAACTACATCGTATATTGAAGAAATCCTTGTAATACATTTAAAATGAATTATTTTTAAATAAAAATTACCAGAAGGTGGCATTGGCTGCTGTGTAACCCTACGTATCGATGCTTGATTCGTGAATCTTGTCTGTTGAGCCATCCCCATATTGGCATGAATCATTTGGGCCTGGGCTGCTGCTTTGTATTCAGGTGGAGGTGGTCTTATACCGCCCATACTTCCCGTCAAATGTTGCTGATGTTGCATCACCTGCAAAAATTTCCAATATTAATAAAACTCCACTTCATAAACAACAAAAGTAGCTAAATTTTTTTTTCCAGAAGAAAAATTAACAAGTAATAAATTTCTAACATATTTAAACTTCTAATGCTTCCAGCAATGAATTTATGTACCCAAGTTCGATTAAGTAAGAAGTTTTTATTTATTGTCACAGACTTGCTTCCTTCTTCTTGCATGAATCCCACTGAGATTTGTTTTTAGTTTGTCTCCTTTCTCAGTTGAATAGAGCAAAAGTTGCCAAGATTCAAGAAATACTACAGATGCGAAAGAAAAGTATATATACCTGTTGCGTCTGTGTTTTGCATAGAATTAATTATGTTTTGATTATAACCAAATTTGATAACAAATAAAATTTATTTTATAGAAAAGAAATCTAGAAAGTTTTAATAAAATTATGAGGACTAGTTATTAATTGAATTCTTTTAACCATGCGTCAAAAAAATTGATATCAAATTTAAATTTAATTTCTTCAATGTTTATGCATACTGATAAATTGAAGCTAAATTTTCAATTTATTCAAGTTAGATTTTTGGAGATTGATTCATAATATAGAAATCCTCACAGTAATCAACGAAATTAAACCAGATATTTCATTAGTGCTCTAAAAATAATTTATGTACAAACATAGTCATCACTATTTAAAAGTTATTTTTTCAAAATTTTTACATTTCTGTCCTAAAAAAGTTCCTCTTTTGGTTTTTAATAAACTAACTATATATTTTTTTTTAAATGATAAATGGGCTTTTTGATTTTGATAGTCATCTATAACATCGGTCATGACTTTTATAACATAAAAATAGCTCCATAATTCTCAATACAGAAATACCCTTATCATAAAAAAGCATAAGAAACGATTTTACCACCCTTAGGTTCTTTGTAACAGTAAACTACTTCCGTAACTTTGAACGTTTAACCTGATGTAAAGACGTCTTTTTCTAATACTTTTTGTCAACTATTCAAGGAAACGTTTCAATTATCAGGGTATTATTGATTGCGTATATAAAAAAATAACTTTCTGCATTCAGTATTTAACTTTACCCAATTTATAAAAATATATCTTCTTTACAATGATCATTCTTAGAATCTTTCTGACTTGAATATTAACTTATTTTTCATCTTTTAAATCAATAGTAGAGATTTTAACGACATTTTTTCAATGAATATTTTCATGTTATTAACAATAATAGATTTGACCTACAAATAAGTAAATAAACATCAAGAATAAGATGATAAGAAAACTTACTTGTTGCGCTCTCATCATTTGTTGTTGTTGCTGTTGTTGTTGCTGTTGTTGTTGTTGTTGTTGAAGTAACTTAGCATGTTGATGCTGTTCAACTTGATTTTGAGGAACTTGCTGAGGATGAGTTCTAGCGGTAGGAGGACCAGCTCCAGGTTGAGGAATGCCAGCAGCAGCTGCAGCAGCAGCTCTTTGTCTTAAGCTTTGCTGAGTAAAGTTTATTGTTTGTGACTGCGAAACAGAACAGTAAGTGTCTGTCTGCCCTGTAGGGCCTGGCTGACTTTGAGCTTGTTGTTGATTGAAATACATTCCTTGTTGTGCTGCTACCGAGACCCCAGACTTGAGATCACCAGATAACTGAACATGCTGTCCCGCTGATACCTAGAAAATATTAAATTATTTTTTATTATACCATTCGCAGTGCTAAATGGAATGTGTGTGAGAGAATGAGATAGAAAATGCAAAGAGTAGCTGCTGGCTGCGGCTGCCTGATATCGATTTCCGATAGCGGGCATTTTAGTGCTCTATATATTCCGTCTGCTTTCATATTAGGTGTCTGATACGTGAATGTATATACTATCCGTAATCGGCCATAGTAGAATATAGCAATATAGTAATTACCCTTGTGCACATATGTACACATTTGAAAAAGTTGCATTAATGTTATGCTGTAATACTTCTTAGTATCTCAACGAGGTAACCATGTTTATATGTTGATGGACTATGGAATTATTATTTTAACACTTTTATAGAAACAGAGCGATCAAGTTATCGTGAATTTTACGTTATTTCTTAGCAATAGAAAGACGTCATTACGTTTTTTTATTAATTAAAAACCTTTTTATTTATATAAATTAAAGTACTATGAGAATTTAATGAATATGGCTCGCTAAAGAGTTTTTTTTGATTCAATAACTATTTATTAGTGAGATAAAAATTTGAAAATTAAATTGATGAAGAGTTGATGGAATTTTTTGGAGTGTTTTTTTTGTGAAGCAATCTGTACTTCATGACTGGAAAATATGAAAATTTTGAATTCAATCTTTTTTTTACCTTCCAATCTTTTTAGAATGGCTGGTATGGTGAAAGAGAAAATCAATATATTATTTAAAAATATCTATGACCATATAATATAAAACAATATTACAATATTACGGTTCAAGCAGAAATACTGATATTAGTTTCAAGATTTTTCGATTTTCTTCATTCGTTTTTTTACCATTTATTTATTAAACAAAATTTTTTTTTGTTGGAATATAAAATTACAAAAAACTATCAATGCCTAAAGATATCACTCGAAATTGTTCAATCCCGTTAAAAAAAACCTCTTTATTTATTTACACAATGCTTGATATTTCCCAAAACAATTAAAACTTCCGGAGAAAATCCATAAATTTGTTGAATAAATTTAAATCCATATCACGATGTCATTCAATATCAAACAAATCTTTAGGCTACCCGTTAATGATTTAATTAGCAAAAAAAAAATAGTTCTAATAAATATTTTTTGTCTAACGACATAAAAAAAAAGTACTTTGAGCTTTGTCTTATGCAATGCCTAGTTAAACTCTAATTGGAATTAATAAAATATTTAAAAGCAATCAAAGCTACCGGTATATAGCAACAACTTCCATACAGTTAATATCTTGGTAAATAATAATTTACGGTATTCTTAGCGGTATAAATAACGTAATCCGTTGTATTGTTGTATTTGTAACTAAATTTTCAAATCGTTGTGAGAAACAAGTCGACACCGCCCAAGCCGCACCTCTTGCAGTCTCTCTCGAGAGGAGCCAGGCCGATTATGAATGCCAGATCATCGACCCGAGGCTCTTGCTCTCTGCACGAGAACTATGTACAAACTTGCCCTAGTTTTTAAAGACGCTTTGCGTACACTGCCTTTATGAGGACAGACATAAAATTTCCGACATCTGCGATCTCCTAAAGTGTTTGAGTATTTTTATTTAGCTGAGCGAAAAATTTTAATGAACAAAAAGTCATCAATGTTTTGTAAAAAAAAATAATAAAAAATGATGATGAACAGTTGATTGTTGCGCGGAAATCGTAAAATTATTGATGAATTTTCAGAATGAAGGAATAAATGTAAAATGTAATAATGGACTGAGCATCCCATAGTTATTGTAAACGTTCCGAATAACGGTATATATACGTACTACATAGCTGTGCTCACGATCGATCGTCTAAACACCCCATACGAGGTCACTGCATATACCTACGCTTACTCGATTATCTACTATAAATTAGAAATTCTAAACTCAACACCCAAACAACTATACGCAGTTCTTGTCTCTAACTTGATTGGGTTCCGTGTATGTACTATGAATTCTCCATCGTGTTGTTGAGTTCTTAAAAAAGTTCCATCATGATAAATTGAATAATAGTATTATACTGCTATATCTAAATGTTGGTAACAAATCGTTTTACTTGTACTAATAATGAAATGCTAGACACTGAAGAAAATAATATACACAGTAGCCTCGTTACTTTAAAACACTATTGATTTGTAAATTAATTAAGTAGGAATACTGATTAACTAACTAACTAATTTTCGTTCCTTTTATTCTCTCAATTATAGTTTTTTTTTTATTTATTGAATACTATTGTTTTGTATTGAAATTAATGTTTTATTTTTTCTTGATAAATAAATTATTGAACTCATTTTGTTACTTAGATATATTCTAAAAGATAATAGCAATCAGATGTGAAATCATAAAATTTTCAAATTTTAAAAAAAAGGAGATTAAATTGATGTAAATGTTTGATCATCTAATTCAACATAACATAGAAAATATTTATTGTTATTCGAATAGATTGTATACATTTGAAAAAAAGTTTGATTTTAAAATATCATTTTAATTGTACTTTTTGAATTTTGGAGTAATAGAATAAAATAACAAAATTTATACTCCATTTTTATAAACAATCTACAATTGTTCAAACACTCAATAGATATCTTATTAATTAATTCGTTTTTTTTTTGTAATATGTATGATTAGATTCAAGAATTTATTTTTATAAAACTTGTTAGATTTTTTATGTTTAACCGATACCTCTAGCTTTTTTAACAATTTTCATATGTAAAGAGTATTCGAGAAAATCATAATGAAATATTTTTAATTAATATTATTTTCATCGAAAAATACCACTAAATTCAGTATTGTTGTTCATTTATATTGTTTTTAATATTAAATATTGAAAACTCAATTAAATGTAAATTGTGTAGTTATTTATATGATGTGAATCTTTTATTTTAATATAAAATAAATTATTTATACCAATACCAAGGAGTATAACTAAATAAAATAAATTCCATAAAATTATTGCTTCATTTAGCTGTTTGTAAAATTGAACTAAAAATTATCGTCTCTTGAAACTTTGTACTCATTAATATCAACTAAAATATTCCATTTATACAATCAAATGCTAATGGAAATTAGAAAGAAGGAATAAATCTTATTATCACGAGTTTATTCAAAAGTAGCAACGTGTCCAATCATTGGTATATATATTTGATACCTACAACTTACACAATCTAAAGTAAATGAAAAGAAATACAAAAGAGGAATAAAAACTAACTTTAAAGACACATATTTATGTCTTTCCTTTATCCACATATCACTCATTGATTGTATTATATACATATGAACATGTTATATACATTTTTCATGAGCCTCCAGACTACATCATACTAAAATGACTATCGCTCCAAGTCCATTCACACGACTTCCGGTAACCTGAAAAAATTTATCTTATCGATAGAACGACTCATAGATCGAAAATGAAATCATGGGTATTTTTTTTTTCTATTCTCTTATTTTTGTCACAATTAATATTATCCATAGTGCTGTCATACCTTTTTTTATTCTAACTATTAACGATTTCTTTTCTTTCAATAAAATAGTATATAATGCCTTAAGAAAACAGTTTATAACGGTGACTTGAAAATTCTTATGTATTTTATTTTATGAATTAAATATTAGCAAGTAGTACCTGCGCAAGACAATTGCGCGAGAATCGAACGAGGCAAGTGACGTACGCGCACCGATGTCACGGTCGAGCTAAAATTAGCAAGTCGGAGCCCTGTCGCAACCGCAAGCTGTCGTGCGATATCGCAATTTATAAGGCTCGATATTTAATATAACAATTTTTTAATAAGCATCGTAATCATAACATTAGTAACGAAATAACGATATTATGATAATAAGAATCACGATTGTTGTAAAAAAATTAATTCATCATAAATTATACGATGAATAAAAAATAAAATTAATAGATTCAACTTGATAAAATAATTTTAACTAAATCTATCATGAAAAAAAAAAATCAAATCAACTCGACCCATCAAATCGATTAAGAATGCAAAAATATACTGAATTGTAGCTTTAAAAGTATCACCGTCTCGTTATATCTATGGTATAAAAGTTCATACATAAATTTTTTTTTTCTTTCGTTGATCATTTGAGACTTAAATGTTTCCGCTATTAAACTCCTCGCTATTTTACATAGGTGACATGAAGGTTATCAACCAACAAAATGTCACTTCACAATAAAATACGATCCACTTTGTATTTTTCTTTTTTTTTCATTCGAATTCTCTGACAATGGTATCACTTATTGATGAAAAAAAAGATATTTATCATCAATGAGTTAAGTTGATTATCAATTGATAATTAAACATCTGCTGAAAGTTCTTAAATAAAGTCTGTTTAAAAAAAAAAAAAAATCGTAATATTATTTTGCTTATTTTTTGAATGCATATTTCAGCAGTTAAATGGAGCAGACGGTATAGAGTCGCAGAATAATGCTACACCGGCTGCGCATATCTCGACGCGCTGTCAAAGTATCAATGCAATGGTAAGTGTGAGAATAGCAGAAGGAGAAATTTTGAAAGAGGGGGAAACTACTTGTTGCGCTTGGTGGCGCATTACTAGAGCCTCCGGTTGTATGCCATCCCCGCGACAATGCAGTCTCTCGTTATTCATTGCGAATTTTACGAAAATTATACATAATGATCAACACAAAGATAAGAGGATTTTAGCTGATATTTAGGACACAATATGTACACTTGGCAAAAATTAATTAAATAGTTATATTAAGTATGATTAGCAATAATTAAGTTTTATCAGCTTATTAATAAAAATTCTTGTTATTTTATCACTACATTTGAAGTTAAGTTAAGTTCAGAAGTTAAAATAAAATTTAAAGATAGATAATTCGTGATAACATTCGGTTCATTGAAACCTGTAACTTAGTATGTCTCATATTGTACGATTCCTACAAAAAAAAAATTATTTCTCACGATCTCATTTCAACTAGTCTTTGCATTTGAAAAGAAAAAGAGGACGGAAATTTCTCCATTTTATATTTCTTCAAATAAAGCAAGCATCTCTATTCAATTATAAAGAAAAAAATATATTATTTTACGGATGAATTCCTGAGAGATTGTAGATAAACTTGAGATTCTCGTAAAGTTTTAAGTAGGAAAATGATAAGAAAAACTTTGAAAATAAAATAGAATAATCATGACATTATTTCGACTTACCTGGATATTATGGCCAGGATTGGAGATATGTAGCTGCTGAGCTTGGTTTATTTGTAAAGTAGAAGAGCCCGACCCAGATGATGGTCTGGGTGGAGTAGAACCTGTAAAAGGTCCTGGACCAGAGCCCGGTTGATTAGGTCCACCACCCTGAGCACCTCGAGATGGAAGAGGATATCCAGGACTTCCATGATTGGGCATAGAACCAGGACTCCCATAGGGAGAATATTGTTGCTTGTAACCACCTGTAGTTCCAAGCATATTTGGTTTACCACTCATTTGCTGAGGCCTCTTAAAATCTCCCAGACCAGAGAATTGATTTTGAGTAGCAAACATATCATTTGTAGATTGAGTTTGGAAACCGGAATTATTACTAGTCTTATGATACGTAGCTGTGGCAGCAGAATTAGGGGTATTTTGATTTTGATTTGTAGATCCATTGCTACCAGGACTACCGAGATAATCGGGGTTAGCTCCGAATTGAGGAAATTCCGTATAAGGTGATCTAGAAGCTGGTCCTCGTGCTGATGCAGCAGTTGGATTGAATGGAGGTCCAAGTCCAAGTTGCTGACTCTTGTGCTGATGTTGTTCAGCCATTTGTTTTAATGTCTGAGCAGCTGGACTCATTTCAGACTTGAAATCTAGACCTGAATAAGGCAAGCGAGCAGGTGAATACTGTGAAGAAGATCCAAGACCACCTGGGCTAGAATTAGAACCTATGGCACCATTACTTGCTCCAGTATTACTATTTCCATTATTCACATCATCTTCTATCTTTATTTGGCCGTTATTAGTTGGTCCAGTGTTATTTAATCCACTCACTCCACCTACTCCAAGTCCACCAACTCCACTTGAAACATTGCTACCTAAAGTATCAACACTTTTGTCTTCAAAATCAAAGTCTTTCATAAACTCTGGATGGAAGTCAGATATTTCTGATATGAGATCTTTGAATGCGTCTGATGTGATAATTTCATCACCAGTATCGTCACCAATAAAGTCTGAGAACCCGGGAAACCCTGCGCCATTTGCTGCTGCATCTTTTTCCAATGCTGCTGCACATTGTTCTAAATCAACGAATTCATTATCTGGTTCTTGTTTACACTCTACCAAATTACCAATGTCTACACAGCCAATACTACTATTATTATTAGCACTATTACCACCATTTCCACCGCCACCTGCACTATTACCACCACCACCACTATTAGAATTATTTGACTGAGTTCTGGACGTTACTGTCGCTGAGGTATTATCGAGACCAGACTTTGGTGATGATGATGCATTAACGAGATCACTTTTAACTGATGCATTAGTCAATGCTTTAACTGTAACGTTCGTTGAAATTTGTTGTGCCTGAGAGTTTGCAGCGGACGTCGTGAACTCGAGCTGCTGCACAATCTCCACTGAGAACTTAGTGAGGCCTTCGTTGGTGTTGTTGCCACCACATGCTGAGGCCGTTGCACCAACGGTATTTGGTCCTTGTGGCCCGGAGGAATTTGTTCCATTCCCTGTCTGATGCTGTCCCAGTCCATGATGTGGATTTCCTCCAACACCACTTGTCGACTGAGTCTGTTGATGCTGATGTTGATTTTGTGTGCATTGCACTTTGACTGGTGGCTCACCAAAGGCTCCATCAGCATTACCAGCGCCTGCAGTCTCTAGATCTTCTGTTGGCCTCTTTAATATTTTTTGCTGCTGGAACAAAAATTTATTTAACTATTAATTTTCATATTTAACAAATGTTTATCTAAAAAATAAATAAAAAGATATATCCAAGTTATATTATTAAATCTACAATTTCATTTCATCAGTGGATTTATTATCAAACTTTTTCGCCTTTAAAATAAGCTTAACGAGTAAAAGAAGGTTGATTGGCGCAATGGAATGTGTAATTAATTTGAGAAATTTGATAGATTGACTAAATAAATTTGTAAATTACAAATTAAATTGCTTTTAATATACTTCACATCGCATAGCATCCAATCCATTAACTTGAATAATTGCACTCGTTATTTTCAAAGCTTTTTTTTATTGAACAAAAAAATTGTTTCATGGTTATTCATAATAATACATAAAAGCTCAAACATTCCTCATAAATTCTGTTTATATAAAAAAAGTTTTCTAAATATATTTTCCCTTTCTCTCCTATCATTCAACGTTTATTCAAATTTTAAAAAAAATATTTATTGTATAATAAAATGAAATAACAGTGTCAGTATTAGTAAATAACGTCAGTTTTATATTATCTGAGAGTGACACGAGTATATATATTTAGAATCACAGCGAAACTTTCGTGACTAGACACCAAAATATCGTCAAGATATCGATTGGTGTGAATGTTTCCTCAGCAATCAGACTTCTTAGTATTGTATTTAAATATTCACGTGCTACTTTTAAATCGTTTAAAAATGTTAATCAATCAAAAAAAAAAAATTTATCTTATTAAAAAAATACAAAATAAAAGTATGCTTCATCTAATTTAAATGCTAATTAAAATAATGTAGTAGAAATAATAGTGAAAAGCATTAAGTGGAGTAATTTGGCCATCAAATAGACTAACACGTCTTCTAGGCTATATATTGCAGTGGATAAATCGCATAATGTAGCGCGCATGCGTTTTGAAAATGATATAAGCTTTAGTACTAAAGATATATAGAATTGATATATATGTAGGATTGACGCGGCAACGTCAATCTTTCTTGTTTTAAATATTTTATTTTTGCGCCACAAGGAAAATAGTTATTCAATAAATAGAAATGCACAAGAATGTACATGAGAATAATATGATATTGATTATAATACTTGGATGTCTCACAGTCATAGTTTTTTAGTTGTAATATTAATAATTAAAGCAGTATCAGTGCCATAAAATGTCTTGTAAACATTTAATAGTTGGTTATGGTAATATATTTGATATGATTACATACAAGTATAGTTATTTAGAGTGAACAATCGTAGCTTAACAGACTGTACGGAGCAAAACAAGAGGAAAATAATAGTGATAGGAAGGTAGAAAAAGAGGGAAGAAAAGACGATGAGTATAACGAGACACAACCGCGCAAGCAACGACGAACCTCTTTTAGATTCAACGAGCTCATACACTTACGCCCACACTTAGTATCGTTGGCGCGCGCACCACCACACACATACACATTCAACCCTCTGGCCTTTCTATCGATCCACGGCGAGAGCTTTTACACGCCCTCCTCAGCTCACCACCTCAGCGGTGAAATCCTCATGAGAAGGTGAGTCGTACCGCATCGAATCCTCACATGCTAGCTTTTCTGTTTCCTCCCCAAAAAGACTCACGTCAACAGACTACAGATACTACTCCTACTAATAAAAATGCGTTTGATTGCTCAAGTTAAACAACTGCAACTTTAATACCAGTTAAGTTTGCATATTTTAGAAGCCAAATAATTAAATATTGATTAATTATTTTTATTTATGCATTTACATATTTTCAAGTTTTTTTTATTTATTTTTTTTCTGTTTAAGGTAGGTGAATGTGTTGGTTTGTCGTTGCTTTGAAGATTTTAATGATATTAATTAAAGTATGGGGTTTAAAAAAGTAAACTGAAGCGATAAAATTGGTTGATGCGATTTTTGTGTTATAAAGAGTTTATTTGTTATTGTTTGATTTTATAAATCACAAGTGTTATATAATAAATAGCTTTTTTTTTTACTAAAAATAGAAACTGATAAAAAGGTATATATTTTTTTTTAATTAATTTGTTCGGTAATATTGATAGAAGAATAATAGTAAAGTGTAAGTTTTCTAGTTCATTAGTTATTTTTAATAAAAAATTTCTAGGCTATAGTGATAAAAAAATGTATTTTCTATAAATTAAATATGTAGGTTAATTATTATTATTTTTATTTAATAATGAGAGTATTAAATGTTATTTAACTATTAATAATACTGAAAATAAGGAGTATATCAATTTGTTGAGAAAATTAAATTAAACTCACTAATGATATCAGAAATTACTTGGCTGTGATTACAAAAGATATATCTGTCTTACACTGGGAAAAAATAGAGGGTGTATAGAGTAAATTTTTCTTGAATCAAGTGAATATACGTTGGTATCAAGCAATTAATTTTCTTAATTATGAAGTTTCATTTCCAAAATAAAGATTATTACTACAAATCTATACAATTTAATTTTATTATTGTTTCTTCAAAGTAAAAATGAATTTATTAATTATAAAATGCATTAAATAATTAGTAATAATTTGTTTTTAAAGCTGGTTAAGTGTTTTTATTAATAATAACACTAATACTTATAAAGAATTATATTTTTTAATTATCCAAATCAACAGAATAACTTTTGTTCATTATCAGTAGTCAAAGTCAGAATTTGTGCCGACATAAAATGCTGATATTTACATTTTTATCTGATTTTTCTTATTAACAGTATTTTAGTAGTCTTAAGAGACCCATTTTGAGTTTCATGAAAAATTTAATATGCTTAAAATGTGAATAAAAGAATTGAAATTAAATAATTGGATGACTGAAAACAAATCAGTAAATTTAATCATTAAAATAAAACCTTTGAACTTTGAGTATTTCAATTTTAAAAATTTTTTATATTCATAAGCTTTAAAAATCTTTAAAGGATATACTGAGAGAAATATAGTGACAAACTTTTAATTGATATGAGTAGTAAATGTCATATCTTAAAAATCATAACTCATATGAATATCTTAATGGAATTTTCAAATCAATAATCTTCTCTCTAATGGAAGTAGATTTCTCTTTTTTTCTATTGTGAAACATTTATTGTCTAATTTTTAAGTAAATGCTCAAAAACGAAATACTTATGAGTTAGATAAATAATACACTAATATTAAATAGAGTTTCATTTCTTATAAATGTATCTAATAATGTTTTAACACATCTGATTTATTTGGTCTAATATTGATGGTCATTACGAAGCTTAGTTAAATAAGTTTAAATTCTATTAATGCAACTCTCATAAAATTTTTTATCACTAATGTTAATGATCAAGAAATTATAGTCCTACTTTCACCATTAACAGGCACTATACTATCTGGATTTATTTAACTATAATTAGATAAAACCGGAGCAAAGCACTTTTTTGTTGTGTAAACAATTTTTTTTGAATAAATATTACTTATGAACGTTGGGTCATTGATGAGTCAATACTTTGTGGCGGAAAAATTGCATAAAAACTCTTTTATTTGGTTTATTAAGTGTTCTTTTGGATTGCAGGTCAATTGAAATTTTTCGAGTCAATTTGATATTTAAAAAATGCTATAGAAAAATATTTTTTCAAAATTTAACTATCTTATATTTACCTTTGTTTTATTTATTTTCTTATTTTAATAAAACATTTAATATTTAAGATAAATAAAATATTTCGGAATATTTTCAAGATCAATTTACATAGAAATCCCACGATAAATTATATATTAAATTTTAATAACTATTTCTTTATAAAAAAAAATTCATAAATTCAACATAAATAAAAAATGCAGCAGTTTATTAAAAAATAATAATCAATAATAATTCATAATTTAGCATTATACTTTTCCCTCCTTCTGTGCCTCTAATATTGAAGTAATTTACACCAAGTAAACATAAAATATGCTCGTACTTTACTGTAACAGCCATACTTTAATGAAAAACTTAAGAATATATGAAAACAAGTCTTCTCTATATTCTACAAACGATGGCTTATTATACAGGCACTGTTGTTACATAAAAAAAAATTGTTAAAAATATATCAAACCAATTGTTTTATAATTCCAACGACATCAGTAACATTCAAAAGCACTTTGTGATGTAATTTTTGTCATAAATACTTGGTTTATTCGGACAATAGTTATAATATTCAATTAAAGATAAAGCGAATTATTACATAAACTAATAAATTTTACATAATTCAGTTAAATCTGAAATCGAGAGTTAACAGAGATAAAAGTAAACGAGAATTTTCAACTCATCGTACTCTAATACAAACTTAACGAAAAAACCTTTCATGTAATAACAATATAAAAACAGAAATAATTATTTATAAATACGCGTGTTGATTATTAGCAATAATGATTTAACCCACATTCATAAATAATGAAAAAAATCAACAAAAAGATCAATTTACAATCTACTGTCACGCAATTAATGTTGTACAAAACTCTACATATTACTAGGTATCATCGAAACTCATCAATTTGTAGAATCATTACAAAGTTAATAACCTGATAGTGATTCATGTTGATATTGGAGAAATATTTTCATATTATTAACGATCAATAATAAATAATAATAAATCTCTCTCAATACCATAATAAAGTTGAATTTTAAACTAGAACTTTAAGAAAAATTCAATCACTATTAATGAATTAATTTGACGTTAATTAAATTTCTAATGGACATACCATCATTCCAACTGGATTGATCAGCACGATAATTGTCAAGACTGATATACAGACACTTGGATTAGTGTTGGAGATTTAAATTTAAGAATCTGCCCCCATTTCACTAATTATTTTTTTTTCTTTTTTTTAAAAATTACTTTCAATAAACTGTCGATCAATTTTCATCAACTTTCAAAGTTTTTTAATACTCATTCTTGCTTTTTTTCATCACCAATTAACAGTCACTTTGTAAAAATTCAAATATATTACTTCTTAAAGTTAATTCGAAGTTGAATGAAAAATCATTGATTTCTATTATTGTAGATGAGTTTGGTTAATTTGAACCAAGTAACAAATAATTGTAAATAAAAAAGAATTCACGACAGGACGCATCGAGCGCGGGGCGAACCCGTGCGCTCGAGTCCGTCACGCACTCTCCCGCGACTCTTGACCTCTTTGGCTTTTTTTTTAACACTCGACGAATGATGGATACCAGTGATAACGTCAAATGTCAACACGTTCGATAGTGCCCTGTGTGGACATCAAGTATCAGGCGTCGACCACAAACCCACTTATATTTACTCCAATGCTGTGACACCGGTGTATTTGACATTTCACTTGATCCAAGATTGCAATTATTATCATCAAAATTTTTGAGAATAAATTTCATATTTTTTTTTTATTCCAGTAAATTTATATCACTCTAGCTGTCTTTTTTTTGGTTCATTTAAACACATCTAGATGTGAATATCGGATTTTTTGTTGACACTTTACTGTAGATTATCGTACATTTGATCAGCAGCATATTTAATTAGCTGTGATAAGGTGATGACGATTGAGAAATGAAAATACGCGCCACAGCTTGTCAATTTTCCTCTCGTAAATCCTCAACAGGTGGTTTAAGCGCAGTCCCTCGATACTAGCTTGTTCACTTGTACATAGCAGCTTTTGCAATAATCGTACTTATTTTTTATTTAACATTCCATATTTTTAATTATTCAATTATTTCATATTTTCATCTTCACGACATAAAACGTAGAAAAATTTCATTTCACAATAATTTTATCTCTCTGATTAATTAATTCATTTTATTCAATAAACCCACAATTAACACCAGTTTTTGTTGCACTTTTATCAATGAATTATTGATAAAGTATCAAATAAAAATTTTCCTTAGTGATAACTTCCATTAATAATTTCTTTCTTACTCCATAACAAATAACAGCATTTTCGATATTCATGAATGTTGTTGATGTTATTTTTAAAAATATCTACTATCACGTAGCGACAAGATCATGTAATAATGAAATTGGTTAATCATCTAGTGTATCCATCCAAGTCTACCGGTAAACTCACAAACATCACAAGACCTGCCAGTATATCATGTCTGTTTATTCTCTCCTACCTCCTACATAAATACGTAATATTCCCTCTCTTCTTGAAGCTCTCTTTTGTTTACATCTTTCACTCGAATTTCCTGACTAAGCAGATTCCTTGTTATTATACTGACAATTTCATTTACCAATGTTGAAGAAAGTCAATGAAATCACAGACACCTCTCACTCATTTTGCTAAATATCTTTTTAATTAATCTAAACAATTATCAATATTACTAATAATAACAATAATAGTAATAATATTGTTAATACTATTATTTAATAACTGTTGTCAATGTGATTTGGAGATTAGAGTAGTAGTAAAAAAATAAACAGTCTAATTGGAGTTTAGTTAATTTCTTTAGAAAAGGATCAAAGAGACTCGGTGTTGATGATGAAGAAGAAGAAGCTGGTCTGAACTTGTCTAGTCCAAGCTCACGAGCGATTGACTCCTGCGCGTCCCATCCAAAGCCGACTCGCGGTTGTGGCACGCGTGAGGGAAAAACGGGAGGGGACATCCCTGTATGGGTAGGGAGACGCCGACGAAGGAAGAAGTCGAGGGCACATGAGAGGGAGAGGAGGATGGCGCGTGCCGTTACACGTTAGCAGGTGGATTGCGCGTGCCCAAGAATCTCCTCACTTTCTTTCTCTTCGTTTCTCACTGTTATATATATTGTATATATATATATATACGAATATATACAGATACACGCCAAGAATGTACGTAGATATATGTCGTCTTCTCTCCACACCTCGTCAAGTGACTCGATGTCGATACCACCAACTGTAGCAACCACTTTGCGACAACTCTTCACAGCCACTCGCCACTCAAGTTTACCCTCTACCGTCACTTTACTCTCTCATTTTGTCACTCTCTCTTTCTCTCTCCACCATCCAACAACTCGAATATATCACCAGATCGAATGTAATCATTTTTTATTCCCCCAAATCTTCACTAGACTCTCCCTTCAATTGTCTAATCTCTCAAAACAATATTTTTACATTATTTTTTTTCTTTTTTAACTTATTTAATTTGCTTTCTAGAGGATATTATGAATTATAATACTTAAGTAGCTTTATGCTTGAATGAAAATTATTAAATATCTTTGTTGTGCAAACGATTCGGCTTACAGCACAGTTTAATCAAATATTTATTCATTCAAGTGATAATCGTTGGATTGTATTTAATTCGCAATGTTTAGTTCGAACAACGGTGAGTTATTCTTGTAGTCTGATAAGAGTTGCCAACGGAAGACTTGATAACAAAGTCTGATCCATCCAATAATAATCATTACTCTTATTTGTTTCATTCATTTTCTAAATTATTCATCAGCTAAATTGTTTATTTGCTTTTATAATAATTGTAGTCACTTCTAAACAGTTTAGTCAACATTATGTAATAATTTTATTCAGACATTCTTGACAGCTAAACAAAAACAGGAGCAATATATTTAAGGATTCAATTGAAATAATTTTTGTCAGACCAGTTGATTTTTTTTTGTCTATTTTTGTGTATGTTATATTTCAATATTTGTTTATTTTTATTTAGTTTATCGTTTTATTTTTCAGCATTTTGGAAATATGTTGAAGCGTGAACGTTATCAGCTGTCACGCGGAGCACGTGTCTTGTGAAGAGACAGCCATAAAAGCGCGAAGCAATACTATATAAACTAATAAAGAACGCTCTTGACGCCTCAAAGAGTCGCCCGTCACTGACTACTCGTTTCTCTTACATAGAAACCCGCGTCGACTCGTTGAGTATCGGCCAGCCTCGACTCGGCTCGTTTGTTCCCGATATACAGTCGTCTTGATCGCAAGTCATTTTATTTATGTACTTCTTTTTCATTTCTTAGTTCACGTGCGTATTTCAGAAATTATTTTTATCCAACAATTTTTTGTCTTTCCCTCCTCTCTCTCTCTCTCTCTCTCTTATTTAGTCATCTATTCTCTCCCGAAAAATTAACTACTCTAATACAACATTATGATTAATTTTGTATTGATTTTTTGATTGATTACCCAACAGAAAAAAAATCTCTTTTTTTTTTCGAAATTGAATTAATTAATTTTTTTTTCGTCCACCAGTAGGGCGAATTGTTTCTAGGGGAGTTTTAATAATATTAGTTTTTCTACGAATACTTGTTGTATTATGTTTATTAGATTAATCGATGTTTTGTGACGTATTGTAAGTTTATGTATTCTAAACACTTCCACTGATAAATCGTAAATAATAAATAATAATAATGAGATAAATATATAATAATCATCATACTATATTGAAGAATTAATAATGCAATGGATTTATATGAAAAATTCATTATTATAAAATTAGTTATCTTTACTTTTATTTTTTCTTCATTTATCAACTTCACACTTCTTATTTAGCAAAATCATTATCAGTCAATTACGCAGCCTACTAATTTACTTTAAAAATTTCTTCAACAACAATTCATTCACCAATTAATCAACCCCATTTTTTATACTTAAAATTTCAAAAATCGATTTTGAAATATTTTTGGAGCCTTTTTTTTTTCTTTAATTTCAAACAATCATTTCCAGTTGTCCAAGATGTTGATTCTGTAAAGCATCTGATGATGATAGTACTCCCAGCAAGTATACTCAAAGCTTTCCTAACAATCGACTGTTACATTGCATCATCAAGATTTTACGGTACGCCCGGATTCATCGGATGAACAAGCAAGCCGTCAACGACGTATCCGTAACGCCCGAGGTAACGCCTGCTTGTACACCACAACGTCGTCATCAGTGTCACTCAACTATACACTCTCCTATCCCAGAGACCCCGAGTGGATTTCTATATAGGTATTGGGGGGATATATCATGCAATGTGTGAGACTGTGTGTATATATCCCACATGTACATATTCAAAGTTGACGGTGTTGCGATGTTAAACAGTAAACACCACCTACGCCACTGACAATTGTCTCGTGCAAGTTGCGCGCGACGAGGACGTTGCACCGTATAACCCTCTCCTCCATGCACAGAAAGAGAAGTAGCAGTGAAATTATGGTCAACACACATTCCAATGGAGATATAGAATTTTGAACAAGAGAAATCGACATGCCTTTTATTATTAAACCTGTATTCAATATCTAATTACTCGTTACACATAACACATTATACGCATATTATGTGCCACACAACATAATATCAAAATCATTCATATCATTCATTTATGTCTCTTTATTTTTCATTAATTCATTTAAAATACACCTAATCCTCGAGTTACTCTTTACAACCTAAATGTTTTCACCTATACTGCAATAAAACTCAACGGATAATTTATAAGCTATAAACGAGCTAAATCATATGTATACAAGGGGGGAAGATTGAGTGTATGTGTAATCAATCGAGTAATTAAACTTCCACGTTACACATCTCAATTTTACAACTGATTAATTATTTAATTAATAGGGTATATTTAATTTCATTTATAAAGACAATCTTTCTTTTACGAGATTCAAGATATATCATTAATTAGAGATTCGACCTATTTGACAATTGTACCGGAAAATGAACAATTTTATTTAATCAGTTAAATAACTACTTTTACTGCATATAATATATTTGATCAACTCAAAAACATACTTCAATATTTTTTTATTTCCAATGAGATGAACTGAAAAAAATGTTTCCCATAAAAAAAATGAAGACGATGAAATTTAGGGTAATTTATGTGGAGAATAAAATGATATAAAATTGCATAGAAAAAATTGATAACAGAATTTGAAATACTTAAAAAGAATAGTGTTCAATATTTCAAGTGTATAAAACTTTTGTAGGGGCAATAACCACTGACATAGTGGTGCAATATATCTGGCAGCAAAAAAATCCTATTTCCGGTCAAGCTGCAGATGAGCATAGATGAGTTGAGCGTCACTGAGTTGCACCGCATTCTCCTTGTGCAGTCAGTGGCGTAGACCTGTTTACTCTTGCGGTACAACAGAAGTACAGAGATTAGCGGAATTCAAATATGCATGCTTTACATTGTTGCAAACGATTGCGCTCACTACAGTATCATTCTGTTGAGTTGAGCGTATTATCACTAGATTTTAACGCAACCTGACCATCAACTAATCAACCTTATTAACAAGCCTCACATATTAAAGTCATTACTCCTATTTATTGACAATGGATTTTCATTTAATATTAAAAGCTTTAATAATCAATTTATAAAGCAATTGATGAGTAATAGATAAAGAAATACCGGCTTTACGCGAGTGAAATGGATATTATCTGCTGATTTATCTCGATATCCGATGGCAGTAGTTGGTACAAATGGCATAGAAGACACAGAGATAAGTGCATAGTGAGCAAGCGCAGGGTTAGATACCTAATATTGCTTTCACACTGTGCAAGCCCGCGATCCCCCACCGCTACCGTTATCCTGCCCAACCGGCTGTTTACTGTTTGGCCTCCCGGAATATCGATTCCAGTGGCGTAAGAACCCACCACGTTATCGTGATAAGAGAGATACAACGTGTACTGCCACACACAGCACGTCACTGACTTTACTTCGATCCTTTTATACTCCAATCCTGATGCGCTCAAGTAAATAAACTCTTCCTACTGCAGATCCCCATTGATTTCACGAGGTCCTTCCTTCTTTGCTATCTTAACTCCTCACTATTTTTTACACTTTTTCTTTTCTAAGGAATTTACTTATTCAATCAATCGCATGATTTTAACAAATTATTTTAGATTTTATTTATTTGATAAAATAACTTTGTCACAGATTTTTTTTTTCATTTTAACCAATTAATTTGATATCATTGGTTTGTATAGGGATTTATTTTATCTTAAAACAACAGATAATGAATAAATTTAAAAAAAAGATTCTTTTATCATTGAGTAAGAAGTAATTAAAAAACTTTCTCTTTTGACACTGCAATTAATTGAAGTTACTTTAAGATGTACAGGTATTTATTGAGTATTGGTAAAATTATAAAATGGAGATTGGTTATTTTAATCTTCTTAACTCTATTATTTTTTTTTAAAATATCTCAGATTCTTTGATGATAATTATTGTAAACGTAAGTAAATTTTTGTTTATGCAGAGTAATATATTTCTTATGACTTATGACATAATAAACGTTGATATTGTATGAGTGCGCGCGCCACAGGAAAATTCTGACAGCAATCAACTGCGCAACGGTAAGAGAGTCTACGTATGTATACTAACATATTCATATTCAATTTCATCAGTAATTTATGGTCACAATTTCATATTTATGATAAAACTAGAAATATACATCGTATTACATACAAGGTATTATTTGTTATTCATTCCTTCTTAATTAAATAGCATGATTCTTTGATTTTTAGAAAAAAAAAAATTATTATTCGTAAATAAAACTTACTTGTAGATCTTGATATTGTTTTATGTTTAGAAATATTTTTATAAAGTGTGATTATAAATGCAAAAGGTGAATAATAATTAACGATTGAGTGAAAAAAAAAAATATTTTTATCTAATAATGAGGGACAGAATTGATGGAAATCAACAGGCGCGTGCGCCAATTGTACGAGTAAAAGTGGGTGGTGGTTGCTACTCGTGGAGAGAAGGTCGATTCGTCGCTGCCTATTACATGACACCATTACGCAAGGGGCTCTCTCAGTATATAGTAAAGTGAGATTTACACACACCTAAAAGTGTATAACTTACAATTGGTCTATATAACATTACGCAATGCTCTATAGGATAAATATTTATAATAATGAAGAGTAATTTCGTGGATGTGTATACGTGGATGGGTGATATGATACATTAATATTTGCTATCATGTGAATTAGTATTCATTTCAATGAAAAATTTATTTAAGATGTTTTACAGATTTTATTTGAAGGGTAAGATTAATAGAAAAAAAAACAATGATGATTATGATTGAAATGTATGCATTTAAAATTTTCATTAGTATAATTGACTAATATCAGCTCACGTGTATTATCTAGAAAAAAAATGGACGGCGTTTATATAGGGTAAAAGCTGAATTAATTTCTAATTATCTAATAGTAACTGGTTGAAGTAATTTTTTAAGCGGAAATGAAAATTGTGGAAAATTTTCACTTCAATCAATAAATGATTTAATAAGGAATTTTTTCAAGAAAAACTTTCTATATGACTTAAGTTTTTTTTTTATATTAAAAAAAAGGATCTAATTAATTTAGGAAAGTATTGATCTTTGGAAATTGTAAAGAAATGAATTAATGAACTCGAACGAAATTGCGTCAATAAAAATGAAAACACTCGTAAAATAAGTAGTTGCAAGAAGATGAAATACTAGTATAAATAATAAGCATAATAAAAAAGAAATATACATATTAAATAAAGCAAATTTTATTTACATATAAATAATTGAAAAATGACTTGAAAATGTAAATTTTGAAATTGAAGAGAAGTGAGGTCAGGTAATGAAATCCCTTAATTGTGACCTCGATATGTTTGAAAATATTCACACAATTATGGCGTGTGCTCAATTATCATTGAGTCGAAAAAGGTGTGGTGGTGTCATCTCTCGGAAATGTGTTAACCTTCTGTTCGGAGAAATCTTGCGTTAACAGTAGGTATAGCAGTATTCAAGAAGTGTAGGATTTGACTCACTTGACTAGCATCTGCACCCATTACATTTCTATATACTAACTCGATAATCCCCACAACCGACAATCCCCCCACCGTTAAGATCATTGCCTTCTCTTCTGAGTAGTATTTTCTCCACCTCTGGTTTCTTCACTAAATGTCGACGTTGGGGGGACATGAGAAGCGCACGTGAGACATACAAAGAAGTATAAGGCGTATATGTAGAAAAGTGAGTAAATGAAAGAGAGAACAGATGAAGGAAAGAAAAAGAGAAGAGTGAGAAAGATGTGAGGGATAAAAGAAACGGTGAAGTAGTGAAACAGAGATACTGCTCCACAACGTTATATTGCCTTGCTTTCCTGCCGCTTCGTTCACGGTCACACTTGCAGTGATTCTCAATGATTAATGATTAATTATTAATTTATGAAGTATTTCAATCATCACAATTGTAAGTAAAAAATTATCTCATGACTGATTGATCATTATTTATCAAGTAATTACCAATTCTGATTGATTATGTATTGATATGATTGATTTATGATATTGAATAATTATAAAGCAAAAAATATTTTTCAATAAAAAAAAATATTGAGTTGAGAACCACTGCATATGCAATATCACGACTCCACCTAGGATAGTGTAGGGTGAACGGGTCGGAGGCCGTTGGTTCCTCATAGAGTTGCTTTCATCTTATTATCATTTATACAAACATACACCGATACGATCCCACCTTTCTTACTTGATGGTCTGTATAGTAATATTATATGTGTAGTATACATGCACCGCAGTGGAACACGATGGTGTTGATGGGACGTGGTGGGAGCGAAACAGGTTGAGTCGTACACGAGGCATCGCGTTGACTGTTCACTCACTAAGTGTAATCAAAATGAGAGTGGAAAAAAGAGAAAGCGAGAGAGAACATGATCAAGAATTTACACGATTATGGTGAAAAAAAAGAAGAAATAATCATTAAATAACGATTAAAGGGATAAAAATGAATTGATTATTAGGTCTGTTAGATATGTTTGACTCAAATTAGTCACTACTACTGCTACTACTACTATTATAATTTTATGTATGCTGTTGCTAATATCACTATAAATGTTTTACCACTACCATCACTAATATGACTAATACCTAGACGGATTGATTTAGCTTAATTTAAATTTGTATATCAGCCTCATACATGAGTTAACTAGAAAATTCAGGCTGCGCTTGCAATTTTAATCTCTTTTAATATTGATTATTATTTGCATCATATTAGATCTCTATCATAATGTCTCATCATATTGTCTTATTGTAAAATAGATTTTCAATTGTATAACAAATAAATTTTCACTACTTTTCAATCACAATAAATTATTTCAATTTGTGACTTTGGAGCAAAAGTTTCAAGTATGTTCAGATTGATACTGATTATTTTTAGTATAATTTGCATCAACTTCATAAAAATAAATAAACATTTAAGTCAATAATAAAATTATTTTAAGAAACAATCAATGACTATTTGGAACACATTTTTGGTCAAAAATATCAAAATTTCTATTTAAAAATATTTGTCATTAATTATTATTATATTTATATTAACAATAATTGATTATTTAAAAAAATTTTCCAAATATTTTTGATTAATACTAATACATAGGAAAAACGTTAGAATTATTAAATCATTAGCATTGGAAGATTGAAAAGCGCTTAGTTACCAAAGCTTTCCAGGATAAGTTGTTTATTTATTTGATTACTTGAGAACCCCTGAGTCTATGAAGAGTACGTATGGCGCCG